CTGGGGTTCACCTGGCTGACGGGGATGTTCAGCTGTGTCTCACCTGTCTCACCTGTCCGTGTCTCACCTGGGGTTCACCTGGCTGACAGGTGTGTTAATCCATGTCTCACCTGGCTGACAGGTGTGTCTCACCTGGGGTTCACCTGGCTGACGGGGATGTTGAGCCGCGCCGCGATGTCCTCCACGGTCTCGTTGCCCTCGGAGATGATCCCCACGCCCTTGGCGATGGCCTTGGCCGTGATCGGGTGGTCCCCGGTCACCATGATCACCTGGGCGGGGGGATTCGGGGTCACGCCGCGTTCGGGGAGGGGTCCCGGGGGGTTTGGGAGGGGTTTTGGGGATTTTGGGGGCGATTTTTGGGGAGATTTTGGGGGGATTTTGGTTCCAACACCGCAGCCCTGTGGTGAGGCAGGGGAGAAGATCCAGGGAAGCTCGGGGTGGGTTTGGGGGTCCCGGGAGGAATTCGGGGGGCAGTTTGGGGGTCCTGTGGGTCTGGAAGATTTGGGAGGGGGTCCTGAGGGGGTTTGGGAGAGGTTTTTAGGAGGATTTTGGGGGGATTTTGGAAGAATTTGGGTTCCAACACCTCAGTCCTGCAAAGAAGGGATGGGGAAGCTCCGGGGAAAGTCGGGGTGGGTTTGGGGGTCCCGGGTGAAATTTGGGGAGGATTTTGGGGGTCCCGATGTCCGAGAAATCTGGGAGGGCCTCCTGAAGGGGTTTGGGAGAGAATTTTTGGGAGGATTTTGGGGGATTTTGGAAGAATTTGGGTTCCAACATCACAGTCCTGCGGGGATGCGGCAGAGAAACTCCGGGGAAACTCGGGGAGGATTTGGGGGTCCCGGGCGGAATTCGGGGCGGATAATCCGCTGAAATCACCCTGAAATAACCCCAAAATCACCCTAAAAATCACCCCAAAAAACATCTCAAAAATCACCCCAAAAATTCTCCAAATTCACCCCAAAAATCCTCAGTGGAGCCACAAAAAATCCAAAAATCCTGAAGTCCCAATTGCCCAAAATCAGGCCCTGAAATCACTATAAAATCCATCCCGAAATCATGCTGAAATCACCTTGAAATCAGCCCAAAAATCATCTCAAAAATCACCCCAAAAATCCTCCAAATTCACCCCAAAAATCGTCTGTGGAGTCACAAAAAAGCCTTGAAATCCTGGAGTGCCAAAATCCCTCCAAAATCCCCCAAAAAATCACCCAAAAAACCCTCCAAATTCACCCAAAAAATCACCCCAAATTCACTCCAAAAATCATCCGTGGAGACACAAAAAAAATTCCTGAAATCCTGGAGCCCCAAAATCCCCATAAATCACCCCAAAAATCACCCCAAAAATCCTCAGTGGAGTCACAAAAAAACCCAAAAATCCTAAAGTCCCAAAATTGCCCAAAATCACCCAGAAATCCCTCCCTGAATCTGCCCCTGGGGTGCTGCTCCTCGGGCAGGTAGAAGTGGCAGAAACCTGTGTGGGGAGAGCCCCAAAATCCTATAAATTTGCCCCAAAACCTAAAAAAAGTCCAAAAAAATTCCAAAAAAAGTAAAAAAATTTTAAAAAAGTCAGAAAAGCCCCAAAATTCCTGGAATTCGCCCCAAAATCTCACCGAGCACCCTCTCACCCAGCTATCCCCAAAATTCTGGGAATTCCTCAGGGGGGGGTTGTCCCATCTAGGTGGGGTTTTTCCCATTTAAATTGGGAATAAATTGAATTTTTGGCGATTTTCTGAGCGGTCGTTGGGGCCCTCGGTCTCGTGGATGGAGAGCTGGGGTGAAAGACGGCGATTTTGGGTTTTTGGGTTCCTGTCGAGTTTTTTGGGGTGTTTTTTGTGTTTTTGGGTCCCCGTTGAGGTTTTTTTGGGTTTCCTGGGGTTTCTGATGAGTTTTTTGTGGGGTTTTTTTGTGTTTTTGGGTTCCCATTGAGATTTTTTTAAATTCCTCTCTTTGTTTTGGGGTTCTCCTTGGGGTTTTTGGGTTTCCTGGGGTTTCTGTTGAGTTTTTGGGGGGGTATTTTTTGTGTTTTTTGGGTTCCCATTGAGCTTTTTTGGGTTTTTTTCAGCTTTTTTGTTTTTTTTTCCTGGGTTCCCACTGGGATTTTTGTGTCCCCATTGGGGTTTTTTGGTTTTTTTTCGATTTTTTAAAGCATTTTCTGCACTGGAGCAAATTGGGGAGGGGGATTTGGGGTCCCCTCGGGGTTTTTGGGTTCCTGTCGAGTTTTTTGGGGTGTTTTTTGTGTTTTTGGGTTCCTGTTGGGTTTTTTGGGTTTCCTGGGGTTTCTGTTGAGTTTTTGGGGGGGTTGTGTTTTTTGGGTTCCCATTGAGCTTTTTTGGGTTTTTTTCAGCTTTTTTGTTTTTTTTTCCTGGGTTCCCACTGGGATTTTTGTGTCCCCATTGGGGTTTTTTGGTTTTTTTTTCGTTCCTGTTGAGTTTTTTTGGGTTTTTTTGTCGTTTTGGGTTCCCATTGATGTTTTTTGGGTTCCCCTCTGGGTTTTTTTGGGTTTCCTGGGGTTCCTGTTGAGTTTTTTGGGATTTTTTGGTGGTTTTGTGTTCCCACTGAATTTTTTTGGGTTCCCCTCTGTGTTTTTGGGTTCTTCTTGGGGTTTTTTTGGGTTTTTTTGGGGTTTATGTCAAGGTTTTTGGGTTTTTTTTGTGTTCCCATTGGGGTGTTTTGGGTTCCTGTTGGGTTTTTTGGGTTTCCTGGGGTTCCTGTCGAGTTTTTTTGGGGTTTTTTTTGTGTTTTTGGGTTCCCGTTGATGTTTTTTGGGTCCCTGCTGGGTTTTTTTGGATTTCTTGGGGTTTCTGTTAAGTTTTTGGGGGGATTTTTTGTGTTTTTGGGTTCCTGTTGTGGTTTTTTGGGTTCCTGTTGGGTTTTTTGGGTTTCCTGGGGTTTCTGATGAGTTTTTTGGGGGTATTTTTTGTGTTTTTGGGTTCCTGTTGAGCTTTTTTGGGTTTTTTTTCAGCTCTTTTTGGTTTTTTTTTCTGGGTTCCCACTGGGATTTTTGTGTCCCCATTGGGGTTTTTTGGTTTTTTTGGGTTCCTGTTGAGTTTTTTGGGGTTTTTTTTGTCATTTTGAGTTCCCATTGATGTTTTTTGGGTTCCCCTCTGGGTTTTTTGGGTTTCCTGGGGTTCCTGTCAAGTTTTTTTGGGGTTTTTTTTGTCATTTTGAGTTCCCATTGATGTTTTTTGGGTTCCCCTCTGGGTTTTTTGGGTTTCCTGGGGTTCCTGTCAAGTTTTTTTGGGGTTTTTTTTGTCATTTTGAGTTCCCATTGATGTTTTTTGGGTTCCCCTCTGGGTTTTTTGGGTTTCCTGGGGTTCCTGTCAAGTTTTTTTGGGGTTTTTTTTGTCATTTTGAGTTCCCATTGATGTTTTTTGGGTTCCCCTCTGGGTTTTTTGGGTTTCCTGGGGTTCCTGTCAAGTTTTTTTGGGGTTTTTTTTGTGTTTTTGGGTTCCCGTTGATGTTTTTTGGGTCCCTGCTGGGGTTTTTTGGGTTTCCTGGGGTTTCTGATGAGTTTTTTTGGGGGTTTTGGGGTGTTTTCGGGGTACCTGGTACTTGTTGGTGGAGTTGAAGGGGATCTCGGCCACTTTCTTGTTCCGCTCCCGCATGACCTTGACGGAGCCCGAGGAGAGCTCGATGCACTTGAGCAGCGCCGACTCCGACGCGTCGCCGGCCACGTCCCGCTGGGAAACCCGAAAATCCGGATTTTAGCCCCAAAAGATTGGCGTTGGAACCCCGAAAATTGGGATGAGAGCCCCAAAACCCGGGGTTTCAACTCCAAAAGTTGGGATTTTAACCCCCAAAAATTGGGGTTCAAACACCAAAATCCCCAAAAATTGGGATAGGAACACCAAAAGCTGGGATTTTTAACCCCTAAAATTGGGGTTGAAACCTCGAAAATTGGGATTTCAGCCGCAAAAATTTGGGTTCAAACACCAAAAATTGGAACCCCGAAAATTGGGATGAGAGCCCCAAAACCCGGGGTTTCAACCCCAAAAGTTGGGATGAGAGCCACAGAAATTCGGATTTGTCCCCGAAATCCAGGATTGGCACCCCAAGCTGGCCCCCAAAATCCCCCAAAAAATCCCCAATAATCCCAAAAAATTCCAAATAAATTAAAAAAAAATTCCCAAAAAGAAATCCCCCCCAAAAAAACCCCAAAAATCCCCTAAAAATCCCAATAAATCAAAAAAAAATCCCCCCAAAATTCCCCAAAAAAATTAAACTAAAAATCCCCAAAAATAAAAAAAACCCCCAATGATTCCATAACAAATTCCCAAAATTCCCCCAAAAATAAAAAAAAAATCCCTAAAAAAAAATCCCAAAAATTCCCTTAAAAAATCCCAAAAATCCCTAAAAAAATCCCCAAAAAATCCCTAAAAATTCCTAAAAAAATCCTGAAAAATCCCCAACAATCCCTAAAATCCTAAAAAAAATACAAAAAAAAATCCCTAAAATATCCCTTAAAAATAAAAAAAAAATCTCTAAAACCTTTTTTTAAAAATCCCTAAAAAATCCTAAAAAATCCCCAAAAATCCCTAAAATCCTAAAAAAAAATACAAAAAAAAAATCCCTAAAATATCCCTTAAAAATAAAAAAAAAATCTCTAAAACCTTTTTTTAAAAATCCCTAAAAAATCCCGAAAAATCCCCAAAAAACCCCTAAAAAATCCCAAAAAAAACCCTAAAAAATCCCCAAAAAATCCCCAAAAATTCCCCAAAATTTATTTTATTTTTAAAAATCCCCAAAGCTGCCCAAAGTGCCCCGGATCCGCTCACCTTGAGGATGGGCACGTTCTCCTGGCCGCCCTTGAAGACGGCGCGGTTGCAGAGCCCGGCGATGTGGCTCAGCGCCACCCACGTCGGCGAGCTCTTGTCGAACGCCGTGCCTGCGGCGGACCAGTACGGACCAGTTTGGACCAGTATAAACCAGTATGGATAGTGTAAACCAGTACGGACCAGTATAAACCAGTGCGGACCAGTTGGGACCAGTATGGACCAGTTGGGACCAGTTTGGACTGGTAAGGACCAGTATAAACCAGTATGGACCAGTTTGGACTGGTACGGACCAGTTTGGACTGCTATGGACCAGTACGGACCAGTTTGGACCAGTATGGACCAGTACGGGCCAGTATAAACCAGTACAGACCAGTTTGGACTGGTATGGACCAGTTGGGACCAGTATAAACCAGTTTGGACCAGTTTGGACTGGTACGGACCGGTTGGGACCAGTATAAACCACTATGGACCAGTATGGATCAGTATGGACCGGTATAAACCAGTACAGACCAGCACGGACCAGTATAAACCAGTATGGACCACTATGGACCAGTATGGACCGGTATAAACCAGTACAGACCAGCACGGACCAGTATAAACCAGTATGGACCACTATGGACCAGTATGGACCGGTATAAACCAGTACAGACCAGCACGGACCAGTATAAACCAGTATGGACCAGTATGGACCAGTATGGATCAGTATGGATAGGTATAAACCAGTACGGACCAGTTTGGACTGGTACGGACCAGTATAAATCACTATGGACCAGTTTGGACCGGTATAAACCAGTAAGGACCAGCACAGACCAGCACAGACCAGTTGGGAGTAGTGTAAACCAGTACGGACCAGTTGGGACCAAAAAAATCTCCAAAAAATCCTCCCAAAAATCCCCAAAAAA